AAACAGTAGTGTATAGAATGTCCTAAGTACAATCAGTAACAAAACTAAATCAAATTAAAACTTCAACTCTTTATTTGTATTCATGCTTCATGTTTCAGCTTACAATAACCAGCGTGTCAGTTGTGTACCTGATATTGGAAGCAAAAGAAGAGGAAGATCAACAGAAATGCAGTAGCATATAACAACAGCAACACCCAGCAACCAGTAACAACCAGCAACGAGAAACCAGTGACAGATTTTAAAATCAAGCAAAAAATCCAGCAATAACCAGTGAAGTAATAGCAAATAACCAGCCAAACTCAAGGAACAAACCAAATGAAAATCCAGAAACACCAACAACAATCAACGGGCAGAAACAAAGTGAACCTTTTTTAGATTGAAAGACCAGTTAATGTTTAACCCTTAAATTTTGCCCCCTCTCTATATCTAGTGTATGCAGATTGTATATCGGGTGTATGCTACTCTCTCTTTAGATTTCCAGAATATTTTTTTTCTGTTCCGAAAAATCCTCAAATCTCTCTTAATGTTCAGAGAATCCCCCTCTAAACTCTCTTCCAAAATCCTCTCTCGAATCTCCCCTTAATATTCAGAAAATTCCCCCTTAAACTCTCCTCAAAAATCCTCTCTCGAATCTCCCCTTAATATCCAGAAAATTCCCTCCCCGTAACTTGTGTCTAGCTCCTTCTCTTTATAGTCAAACTTGTAGCACCTAAATTAAATCTCACTATCTTATACCCATCCCCCTTTTGAATCCCATTACTTAATGTTTGTCCCCCACTATATTAAACAAATATATTAATTCTCACTAACACATATTTTTTCTTTATTTAATTCCCTTATTCCCCACTACCGCATGCTTTGTCCCCCATTATATTAAATAATGTATTAATTCCCACCATTATGTCTTGTCCCCCACTACGTATTATTTTATGGATTATTTTAATATATTAGCGCTTAGTGGATAGAACACTCAAATTAATCAATTACTAAAACTTAAAATCCCGAAAATTCCCCCGACCATTCTACCCCTGAAAATACTGCAATTTACCATTCTACCCCTATCCCTTTCAATCTGTACCAAAACCATATCAGCTATAACCAATTCACCTAATTAATCAAATTACAGCAGCTATAACCAAATCAAACCTGACAATTGACAACTAATAATCAAACTCTGCATAATAAACTTGCCAAACACACTCCTAATCGACAACGTTCATGAATTAACAACAAAGTCAGATTCATACCCGAACAAACTCAGCAGAACAAACAAGTAAATACAAATCACTAAACTCGATCATCAATCGAACTTCGAATTAAATCCAACAACATTACAACAAAGATGAATGATTCAAACTAAATCAAAAACTAAAAACCAACACATAAACACTCACATTAAATCACTTGATGAAAAACGAACTTCAAACAAAAAATGAACACGAATTAAATCTAACTCAAACAAAGACTGGGTTCGAATTCAAACTAACCTATCGGAACAAGAACATAATCATAGAAAGAAGAAAAAGGAGCGGAAGATGAATTTAATGAATGAAAACTAAAAGAAAAGAGAACGGAAACCTACTAGTTTGAAGTCCGGGTTCGAACGGAAAACTCGACATATGACTGAGCTGCTGGTTCACGGCTGGAAATGGGGAGCAGTTGCTTGACTGATGAAGAAGAAGCAGCGGCCATGGGAGGGGGTCGTTGGAGCTTGCGACTGGAGGGCTGCCATGGGGTGCTGGTCGTTCATGGCTGGAGCTTGACGACGAAGAAGGTGAAGCAGAAAGGGGGTCGATGGACTGCCTCACATCGCTGAAAAGTGGNAGAGGGCTGCCATTGTATTTAATGCTATGTGGATTTTGAACCTATAGAAATATCTTCAGCCGTTCTAGTGGAGCCACAGCAGTTCGTGACACACCTTCGGCGACACCTCCGGTAACAAGTGACTTGCAGATACTGAGGACGACATGGATTGTAGCTTGACGACGAAGAAGGTGAAGCAGAAAGGGGGTCGACGGATTGCCTCACGTCGCTGAAAAGTGGTCGACGAGGAGGTCGATGGACTGGTTGAGCTTGACGAAGAAGACGAAGATGAAGAAACAATAACCATGGTTGTTGGTCGTTCATGGTGGAGCTGGGGTGGTGACGACGAGAGGGCAGCTGAAGACGAAGCAGCAGCCATGGTGGCTGACTGGAGCTCGACGGACTGTGAGGAGCTGGAGGTCGACGCAGCAGAGATGAAGAAGAAGAAGCAACAGGTGAAGCTGGCTTGAGCTCGACGAAGAAGATGAAGACGGAGCAGCTGCTGCGTCAATGGAGACGGAGTAAATGGTGGTGAGGGGGCAGCCATGGATGGCTTGAGGGGGAGCAGATGCAGCGAGGGCAGCCATGGGAGGAGGGTTTGTTTGGGGGAAGGAGAAGAAGAGGGGGGCGGGTGTTTTTTAGGTTTTTTAGGTTAGGGTTTTTCAAAAATTGAAAAATGGAAAAAGGGGGGTGTTTGTTTGGGTTATGGGGCGGACCGGGTCGGATTGACCCGGTAGGGGTTTGGTTAAGGGGTTATCTGGTTTGGGCCTGGTTGATTTAATTTAAAAGGTGGCCCAATCCGATTTTCTTCTTATTTCCAATGCTTCTTTTTTTCTTCTTTTATTTTTTCTTAAACTAAAACTAAATTCTAAAAATTCTAAATTATCCTATAGAACTAAACTAATTTATAAAAGTGCAAACTAACTATTAATAACAATTAACACACAATTAAATAGCAATTGCGATAAAATCACACAATTTTAGACATTAAATGCTAAAAATGCAACGTACATTATTTTTATGATTTTTTTTGTTCTTGCAAAACAAACTTAATTGCTCCTAATTGTAGAATCAAATCCTAAATGAAAAAATGCGAAATATTTTTGTATTTTTTATTAATTTAACAAATAAACATACACGGATAAATACAAATAATTATCAAAAAATGCCACGAAAATTCTCAAAATGGCACACAAAGGAAAATTGTTTTATTTTGAATTTTTGGGAGTATTTCTCACATAGGGCAAAAATCACGTGCTTACAGCTTGTAATTCCCCGATCGAGGGGCGAGATGAGATCTCTATAAATTGATGTTGGGCTAGTCTGAAGGACTTGAGGCCGGATCTTTTCCTATGGCTTGAGCACCGAGGTGCTGATTGTGTGAGCAAGTGTTTTGAACTTATATGTTTGGTATTGTCCCTATTAGTGGAAGTGACGGTTGAGTAACTATGTGATGAGTATGTTAGTACTGTGAGATGTATTCATATGATTTGGAAACGACAAGAAGGGTCTGCTGGAAGATAGAAGAACTATTAGATGCTTGAATTCCATCTTGATTCGAGGTATAGGCCCGAGTTATAGGCGTGTGAAGAATCTTTTCATGTTTCCCAGTTGTGAGTAAAAAAAATCATATTGCGATATGAGTTCAAACTCATTAAGACTAAGTGACTGCGTATAGTTTATGATGGTGGAAGGTATACATAAATGTTAGTTAAGGCGAAGCAGGTGGGTTATCCCTTGCGAAGAATTTTTGGGGTTGTGTGATCCTTATGTGTCCGTTAGAAGATCTCATTTACCAGTGAAGTATAAGTATTGAAATTTGAATGTGGAACGCTTAAGAGAGTGGGTTTAATTGTTATGAGAGTAAATGCGAGATTTGTAAAAGATATGAAGTACCAGATGGTCTGTGTGCCACGAGCTTATGAAGGTTTGAGTTTAATCTCACTATGGTATTATGGCATCAATAAAGTATAAGCGTTATGAGTTATTGAGTATGTGTTGATCTATGGCTTCGAGCCAAGTGGGGGAGATGTTATTGATTAGGCAATTGCACGGTTAGGCGCTATGTTGGTTCTAGTTTGAGGCGTACAGGCGAATCAGTTATGGCTTGCCGAAATTGAGACCGAGGATGACTCGATTAGAGGAAAAAAAAATTTCGACAAAGGTTATATTATGCTTAAAAAAATCACGGAATGTCTAGAGTGTTGTTGGTAAAGAATGCTTGGTGCATATAGTAGGAAGTTGCTTGGTTGTATTGGGATGAGGATTTCATTTTGCGGTATCGGAGTGCCAATGAGGCACGAGTGGTTCTGTTCGTTAGGTCAGGTGAGTTGCAGTTTGAATAAGAGTGAATGACTTTTAAGAATGGTTCTAATGTGTTCGAGATTCTACAGGGAACAATCGGGTATCTTAAGGTTGTGTATGTGGTTAGAGACTGTATTTTCATTGGAAGAGGTCAAGACTTGTGGCATTTTTATGTTAATTATTGGATTCTATGTATCAGTATCAGGAAAGTAAAGGTAACTGATTTAGATTCGCAGGAAGTTCTTCAGAGTAAAGTATTCTGGAATGTGGTGTTTCTGGGAATATTTAAGAGAGTATTCAGTGGCTTATGGGTCTTAGATAGTGTGGTCTTGTACTCGGGTCTCATGTAGTGAGCCTGGGTTGAGGAATTGTGGTGCTACAGCAAGAGGGAATATCAAGTTGAAAATGAATCAGAAGGGAAACTAGATAGATGGAATAGCTTGATAGTAGACCGAATCAGTATGGTAAGGATATGATTAACTCCTTGTGCGTGTTCGAGGTAATGAGCTCTTACAAGTATTTTGCAGCAATGCTCTTGGGTTTTGATGGCTTGCTTAGCTTGGCCGAGTTAGAAGGATTCAGTCCTGGCAGGTCTGATTTGCGCAAAGAGAATTCGGAG